TAATAAGCTTCTTTTAGAAGGAAGAGTCACCAAAAAACTCGTCATCCTTTTTTTTGCTCCCCGTCTTTCCTCCAGATTAAGCGTGTGAACACTTGAAATATTGTATGAAGCCATGTTATGTTCATGAAAATGTATGATGAAAAAAAAAGAAAAGAAAAAAAAAAAGATCAGAAACCACCAGAAACCAATAAATCAATTCAAATAAAAAAAAAAATGCCTACAACACCCGGTATTCAAAGGCGGTCTCCCATCCAATTACTGACCAGGCCTATGTTCTTTGACTTCGGTGATCGGACGAGAACCGGTATGTTCAGCATGGTATTGTCGTAGACAAAAGACTCGTCAATTTAAACCTATTTAACATTAAACAATGACGTCACCATCTGATTTCTTTCAATGGGTGGTAGTAGTAGTTTCAGATGTTCATGATTATTTCAAAGTGCCCGACTGGGTGAGGAAACGGATTTAGCCCGAACGCCTCTTCTCCAACTAAGAGACTGTGTCCTCTGTAGATGGAGCTCTTGCTTCAACTATATTATTGGGGGTATCAATAATAGTCCAGAGCTGCACTTCTATGCCTTGTTGAGATCAGGTCCCCCTGGGGAGAGGAATATAACAAGCTAACGTCATATTCCAAATAAGCCTTTGAGCAAACCTAGTACCTCGACACGCGATATATAGTATTCACCTTGTCTTTGTTTATGACGTAATGGTCATCATGCGCAAAGAGTGTGCGCATTGACACTGTCTTGGAAACGGTTGCGGATAAAACATTTTGCCATAATGCTACATGGAGGATGGAAGAAAAGAAAAAGGAGGAGCCGGGCAGGGATGGGATGGGGGGGGAGGGGTGGGAGTTTGTTATAAAGGTGAAGGAGGGAAGAAGGACGGAGTTAGAGGTCGATAATAAGCTTTTTTTAGAAGGGAAGAGTCACCAAAAAACTCGTCATCCTTTTTTTTGCTCCCCGTCTTTCCTCCAGATAAGCGTGAACACTTGAAATATTGTATGAAGCCATGTTATGTTCATGAAAATGTATGATGAAAAAAAGAAAAAAAAAGATGCAGAAACCAATAAATCAATTCAAATAAAAAAAAATGCCTACAACACCCGGTATTCAAAGGCGGTCTCCCATCCAATTACTGACCAGGCCCTATGTTTCTTGACTTCGGTGATCGGACGAGAACCGGTATGTTCAGCATGGTATGGTCGTAGACAAAAGACTCGTCAATTTAAACCTATTTAACATTAAACAATGACGTCACCATCTGATTTCTTTCAATGGGGTGGTAGTAGTAGTTTCAGATGTTCATGATTATTTCAAAGTGCCCGACTGGGTGAGGAAACGGATTTAGCCCGAACGCCTCTTCTCCAACTAAGAGACTGTGTCCTCTGTAGATGGAGCTCTTGCTCAACTATATTATTGGGGGTATCAATAATAGTCCAGAGCTGCACTTCTATGCCTTGTTGAGATCAGGCCCCCCTGGGGAAGAGGAATATAACAAGCTAACGTCATATTCCAAATAAGCCTTTGAGCAAACCTAGTACCTCGACACGCGATATATAGTATTCACCTTGTCTTTGTTTATGACGTAATGGTCATCATGCGCAAAGAGTGTGCGCATTGACACTGTCTTGGAAACGGTTGCGGATAAAACATTTTGCCATAATGCTACATGGAGGATGGAAGAAAAGAAAAAGGAGGAGCCGGGCAGGGATGGGATGGGGGGGGAGGGCGGGAGTTTGTTATAGAGGTGAAGGAGGGAAGGAAGGACGGAGTTAGAGGTCGATAATAAGCTTCTTTTAGAAGGGAAGAGTCACCAAAAACTCGTCATCCTTTTTTTTGCTCCCCGTCTTTCCTCCAGATAAGCGTGAACACTTGAAATATTGTATGAAGCCATGTTATGTTCATGAAAATGTATGATGAAAAAAAAAAAAAAAAAGATGCAGAAACCAATAAATCAATTCAAATATAAAAAAAAATGCCTACAACACCCGGTATTCAAAGGCGGTCTCCCATCCAATTACTGACCAGGCCCTATGTTTCTTGACTTCGGTGATCGGACGAGAACCGGTATGTTCAGCATGGTATGGTCGTAGACAAAAGACTCGTCAATTTAAACCTATTTAACATTAAACAATGACGTCACCATCTGATTTCTTTCAATGGGGTGGTAGTAGTAGTTTCAGATGTTCATGATTATTTCAAAGTGCCCGACTGGGTGAGGAAACGGATTTAGCCCGAACGCCTCTTCTCCAACTAAGAGACTGTGTCCTCTGTAGATGGAGCTCTTGCTCAACTATATTATTGGGGGTATCAATAATAGTCCAGAGCTGCACTTCTATGCCTTGTTGAGATCAGGCCCCCCTGGGGAAGAGGAATATAACAAGCTAACGTCATATTCCAAATAAGCCTTTGAGCAAACCTAGTACCTCGACACGCGATATATAGTATTCACCTTGTCTTTGTTTATGACGTAATGGTCATCATGCGCAAAGAGTGTGCGCATTGACACTGTCTTGGAAACGGTTGCGGATAAAACATTTTGCCATAATGCTACATGGAGGATGGAAGAAAAGAAAAAGGAGGAGCCGGGCAGGGATGGGATGGGGGGGGAGGGGCGGGAGTTTGTTATAGAGGTGAAGGAGGGAAGGAAGGACGGAGTTAGAGGTCGATAATAAGCTTCTTTTAGAAGGGAAGAGTCACCAAAAACTCGTCATCCTTTTTTTTGCTCCCCGTCTTTCCTCCAGATAAGCGTGAACACTTGAAATATTGTATGAAGCCATGTTATGTTCATGAAAATGTATGATGAAAAAAAAGAAAAAAAGATGCAGAAACCAATAAATCAATTCAAATAAAAAAAAAATGCCTACAACACCCGGTATTCAAAGGCGGTCTCCCATCCAATTACTGACCAGGCCCTATGTTTCTTGACTTCGGTGATCGGACGAGAACCGGTATGTTCAGCATGGTATGGTCGTAGACAAAAGACTCGTCAATTTAAACCTATTTAACATTAAACAATGACGTCACCATCTGATTTCTTTCAATGGGGTGGTAGTAGTAGTTTCAGATGTTCATGATTATTTCAAAGTGCCCGACTGGGTGAGGAAACGGATTTAGCCCGAACGCCTCTTCTCCAACTAAGAGACTGTGTCCTCTGTAGATGGAGCTCTTGCTCAACTATATTATTGGGGGTATCAATAATAGTCCAGAGCTGCACTTCTATGCCTTGTTGAGATCAGGCCCCCCTGGGGAAGAGGAATATAACAAGCTAACGTCATATTCCAAATAAGCCTTTGAGCAAACCTAGTACCTCGACACGCGATATATAGTATTCACCTTGTCTTTGTTTATGACGTAATGGTCATCATGCGCAAAGAGTGTGCGCATTGACACTGTCTTGGAAACGGTTGCGGATAAAACATTTTGCCATAATGCTACATGGAGGATGGAAGAAAAGAAAAAGGAGGAGCCGGGCAGGGATGGGATGGGGGGGGAGGGGCGGGAGTTTGTTATAGAGGTGAAGGAGGGAAGGAAGGACGGAGTTAGAGGTCGATAATAAG